GCATTAAATGTTTTTCTGTTACTCTGTGATACAGGAGAAGTCTAAGCTAGAGAGTGAATTGGCAAACTTTGGCCCTCGCATCAATGACATCAAGAGGATCATCCAGTCCCGTGAGCGGGAAATCACTGACTTGCGAGACCGCATGAACCTGGTGAGACTGGCACAGAGTGAGCTGCAGTTAGAAGTCCGTTTATGAACATGTAACATTGCACAACATTGTTTCTGTTTCCCAGGTGGAGGATGAGGTGTTTGTGGAATTCTGTAAGGAGATTGGAGTGAGGAATATCAGAGAGTTTGAGGAGGAGAAAGTGAAGAGGCAGAATGAGATTGCAAAGAAGCGGTGAGTTCAGTAATCCAGTCACTTCTGCTAATAGTGAATCTGTCTCTGGTTTGTTGAAGCATAACTTCATTGTTTTTGTCTTAGTCTTGAGTTTGAGACTCAAAAGACCCGCCTGGGTATCCAGTTGGACTATGAGAAGAATCAGCTGAAGGAAGACCAGGAGAAGGTCATGATGTGGGAGCAGACTGTGAAGAAGGACGAGGCTGAAATCGAGAGACTTAAAAAGGTGAAAACAAAGTTAGACGATGAAAATGTTTTGCCCTTGATTTTGACATCACTTTTAATCCCTCTCGCGTGCTTTATAGGAGGAGCACAGACACATGAAAATCATTGATGAGACAATGGCCCAGCTGCAGGACCTGAAGAACCAGCATCTCACCAAGAAATCTGAAGTCAACGATAAAAATCACGAGATGGAGGAGATTCGCAAAAAACTGGGTGGTGCAAACAAGTCAGTGACTGCAGACATACGCACCTTAGTTTGTTTTGTTTTTTTTAATATCTTCTTAATATGATTTTATGTTTGAGTGAGTTTGTTCTACAAACAACTTTTTATTATTCCAGGGAGTTGACTCAGCTCCAGAAGGAGGTCACTGCCATTGAGACCAAACTGGAGCAGAAGCGCAGTGACCGTCACAACCTGCTGCAAGCCTGCAAAATGCAGGATATCAGGCTGCCTCTTCGTTCTGGAACAATGGATGATATCAGCCAGGGAGAGGTACATTAACAAAACCATCGTTGCTCTAACTGTAATTCCATTAAGACCGAAGCAGAAAATGACAGACGTCTTTTTGTTTTCACCGTTCAAGGGGAGTTCCCAGACGGATGAGTCCAGCAGCCAAAGGACATCCAGCAGCGTTTTGGCCAAAGAGGCTCTTATAGAAATTGACTACAGCAACCTGTC